AACAACGATCTCTCTAGCGTGCTTGACTGGTCTAGACGTCATGGACTTAACCTGAATCTAGATAAAACGCAAGCCATTGCATTTGGCACTCGCCCCTTGCTGGCACAATTTAATTCCTTAACTACCCTTGAACTGAGGCTTGGCGACACCGTTATTCTGTTTTCTAATCACAAGTTCAGGGAGTCAGTAAGAGGGTTTACTTCTGTTTCCATACTTCGCTGCTACCTTCCTCCTGTTGTACGTCGTAATCTTTGTTATTATCTCATTTTCCCACACATTGATTATGCCCTTGCTGCGTATCCCGATTTGTCCGCAGCCCTTCAGGGTAAATTGGAAAGACTTCAGAACAATTCTATACGGTACATTTTTGATTTAGGAAAGTTTTAGCAGATTACTCCATATCGTAACAACTTGCAGATGATGACTTTCCAGAGTCGTAGATCATTTTGTATGCTTACTATGTTGTACCCTCACTACTGCTTATTTGTCCGATGCCTTTCACTTTTTTAAAATCACATGACTTGCTCACTCAATCAATGTCGGACTCTACACTCATGTTTCCAGTCCATAGTACTGGAATCTACCACAAATCTTGCCTTAATCTGGCCTGAGCAGTCGTCATTATCCACTGATCGCAATCGAAGCAACGCCATCACGGCCACCTCCCTGATAAAAACATGCACGTTCAGCATAGTTTCCATCGTGGGTGTCGAACTCATGGCGCCCGTAATTAACAGGCTGGCCAGCCGTTGCAACAATTTAGCCTTATATGCATGTTTCAGTGCTGAGCACCAAACTATGGCTCCATGAGCTACCATGGGTCTTATCACAGAAGTGTAGATCCACATTGTAACCTTCGGATTTAATACCCATGTGGGACTATATGCCCTTTGACATTGGGTGAGTACAATCGTTGCTTTTTTGGTTTTGCAACTAATGTGTGATTTCCAAGTCAGTCTCTGAAGCAAAGGTTAATGGACTGTTGCAGAAATGGGATGGTGTATGGTATATGGTATTGTATAACATTGACTTAGTGTTTCGTTCTTGTCAGGAATACCAAATTTTATCGCTGTACCAATTTCGTTGCAGTTTGGTACAGCGATAAAATGGGCCAAAATAAGATTTATATATTTTTTTATACTTGCTAATAAGGTCCATTTTGGCAGCCTTTAGTACCTTTATAGTACGTTTAAAAATATTAATTACGTTTTTGATCATCCCCTATAAAGTTTCAGTAAAATAGATAACCCCTTTTTGTAAGAATAATGTGAAAAAACTATTACACAGTTGAGCAATATTTTGAAGAAGATCGTAAATGACTTGCAAATTAAGATTTATGCAGTAAAATAAGAACCATATGACATTTACGGATTGTTGATTTTCGCGCAATTTAATATGTTGGCTTCTTTATATGTTAAATAGAACTTTTGAAAGGACTTATAAGGATTAAAATTGAATTTTTAAGAATAATCTTTTTTATTGTGAAAAAGATATACACTTTTTTCAATGTTTTACATAATTAATAAGAAAAATACCTTATAAAATTATTAACCTACAAGAAAAACAAAAACAATGTTTTTAATTCTTATTCCATTGTTTCTTTTAGATTGATTTTGAAACATTATTACAGCTTAAGATAAAATAATAAATCAGAAAACAAGATTATTCATCCAAATCCTTTTTTTTATCTTTCTTTTTCTTCTTCTTTTTCTCTTTTTCAACCTAAAACCAGAATGAAAAGCAAAATCATGGGGATAATAATTATTTAAGAATCTTACCGGTTCTTCACTGGAAGCAGGAGTTTCTTCAGCAGCTACTTCACTCACTTCTTCAACCGTCTTCCTTTTCTTTTTCTTTTTTTCTTTTGGTGTAGTTTCAACTTCACCACTTTCATTTTCCGTCGCACTCACCTTCCGTTTTTTACTACCCTCTTCTTCATCATCTACAATTTCTTGTTTGGGTACTTTTGTTTCTTTTTGTTCAGGTACAGCCCAATTAACATATCCACTTAACCATTCTTTTGGGGTATTCTCATTTGGTTTGCCATATTTATCCAATTGACCTTTAGCTATTAACATTTTCTTTTGTTTAGCTTTTGGTCCAAGACCCCATTTTCTTGGATATGTATCCCGTTCCATTATTACCCTTTTTATTTTCGCCACAATTCCATGATCACAACTGGCAATTGTGGCTGTGGTCATTAATGCTACAGCTAAAGCGACAGCTTCACCTTTTGTCGTTACAATAACAATTTCTTGGTTCAATTCGATATTATCGTCATACCGTAAAATACCCGGTAACAGGATTTTAGCACCATAGCAAACTGCATTAACAGAACTATCTTTCATAATAATTCTTTTGTGATTTATAAGTAACCCTTCTAAAGGTTTAATAACACGTCTTAAATATGATTCATCTTTATGATTATCATATAACCATTGAGCATCTAATATATCATGCATTGTTGCCATGTTGTCTAATTCTGTTTGAATACCAGAACGAACACGACGTAATTCAACCATTTGACCACCAACACCAAGTATCATACCCAAATGAACACACATTGTTCTGATATAAGATCCAGCTTCACAACTTACCCAAAATACAGCTAAACATCAATTTAAATTTAATCAACATATTTAATTTTATAAAATAATATAGATATGGATCTTACCCATATTTCTCGTTTCATCAAATTCAAACAACTTGCTGTCGTAAACTGTACGCACTCTGAGTTGTCGTTTTACAGCGGATATTAATGGGGGTCGTTGGAATAAAGCGCCGCGCAGTCTTTCGAGTGCTTGAACTACTTTTGGAACACCGCCATCGATTGCTGAGAAAAGTTTTAAGACAGAAACGTATTCTTTTCCTGCCGATTGTTGGGATTTTACGAGACGTGTTGCTCTGTCGATACATACTATTAAACAACCTGTTGAAAATCAATAAATTAAACTATATTTTCTTTAATTAATTAAAAAATACTTCTTCTGTTGATGTATACGATTAAATGCTGTAATATTACAGCTGATAAAAGATGTGATATAATCGCCTTTAACAAAATTAATCAACCAATGCATGAGAGAAAATACTTTTCCAATTGCTTTAAAATTAGCATTGGTAACTCCCGTCTTTAAGAAAGGCGATTCTCTTATAATGGAAAATTAATATACTCTCCACAGAGATATACACAGATACAGAACCCACAATAGTCATAAGCTAAAACCTAAATTTTGCAAACTCTCTAAGTCACAGAAAGGTGTAGATTTTACCGCGCTCAAGTTTTACAATAAATTACCTTTAACGGTTACGCTTTTACCTGTGATCAAGTTTGCAACATTGATAAAGCAATTTCTGCTGTTGAGAGGTTTCAATTCTTACTCGGGGTTCCTTAAATATGAATTTTTTGAAAGGGATTTTGTGGCATTGGCGTTGGTCGTAACAACATCAAATCATAGAATGTGCTTTAGATTTGACGAATAGAATTTATAAAGTTGTATCTCAAGAACGAATTGAGATATAAAGATGAAACAAAGAACATTTTAAAGCTAATTTTATGAGTATTCAATGTGCCATAAATAATTTCATATTTCCCAGAAACATGGTTGTTATAATTTTTTAAACCCAACTCTGNATTCAATGTGCCATAAATAATATCTTATTTCCCACAAACATGGTTGTTATAATTTTTTAAACCCAACTCTGCATGTTTGACTATTGTAGATTTGAAAAATAGAATTTAAACGGTTGTATCTCAAGAACCAATTGAGATATAAAGATGAAACAAAGAACATTTTAAAGCTAATTTTATGAGTATTCAATGTGCCATAAATAATTTCTTATTTCCCACAAACATGGTTGTTATGATTTTTTAAATATAACTCTGCATGTTTGATTATTGTAGATTTGACGAATAGAAATTAAACAGTTGTATCTCAAGAACCAATTGAGATATAAAGATGAAACAAAGAACATTTTAAAGCTAATTTTATGAGTATTCAATGTGTCATAAATAATATCTTATTTCTCACAAACATGGTTGTTATGATTTTTTAAACCCAACTCTGCATGTTTGATTATTGTAGATTTGACGAATAGAATTTAAACAGTTGTATCTCAAGAACGAATTGAGATATAAAGATGAAACAAAGAACATTTTAAATCTAATTTTATGAGTATTCAATGAGCCATAAATAATATCTTATTTCCCACAAACATGGTAGTTATGATTTTTTAAACCCAACTCTGCATATTTGATTATTGTAGATTTGACAAATAGAATTAAAACAGTTGTATCTCAAGAACGAATTGAGATATAAAGATGAAACAAAGAACACTTTAAAGCTAATTTTATGAGTATTCAATGTGACATAAATAATTTCTTGTTTCCCACAAACATGGTTGTTATGATTTTTTAAACCCAACTCTGCATGTTTGATTATTGTAGATTTGACAAATAGAATTTATAAAGTTGTTTCTCAAGAACGAATTGAGATATAAAGATGAAACAAAGAACATTTTAAAGCTAATTTTATAACTATTCAGTGTGCCATTAATAATTTCTTATTTCCCACAAACATGGTTGTCATGACATTTTAAACCCAACTTTGCATGTTTGATTATTGTAGATTTGACAAATAGAATTTATAAAGTTGTATCTCAAGAACGAATTGAGATATAAAGATGAAACAAAGAACATTTTAAAGCTAATTTTATAAGTATTCAATGTGCCATAAATAATATCTTATTTCCCCCAAACATGGTTGTCATAATTTTTTAAAGCCAACTCTGCATGTTTGATTATTGTAGATTTGAGAAATAGAATTTATAAACTTGTATCTCAAGAACGAATTGAGATATAAAGATGAAACAAGAACATTTTAATGCTAATTAAGTATTCAATGTGCCATAAATGTACTTTGTTCTTTTTTTCTCTCTCTGTAAGCATTTAAAATGTATATTTTGGATCCACAAATAAATATTATTGTTAATATCAAAATAATTAAATTTTTATAAATCTTTTTACTCTAAACTTA